CCGTCGTGTCCTGGAGCGCCCCGTCTTGCCCTTGCGCCCGCTCCCGAGCTGCCAGCGCGACGGGCTCTCCCCTCCCGCTCCCGGGGTAAGCCAGGCCTGCTCCGGTCGGATTTGGGCAGCTGTTCAGCGGTGACGCGAGCGGCCGAGGCAATCCCCGGCCCCCGGGATTTGGAGCCGAGGGCAGAGTTATACCTGGACTGCAGGAAGGCACTGCAGCATCTGCGCTCTGGCGCAGGGGGTAAAAGCGTGTGTTGGGGAGAGAGGGACAAAAACTAACGGACAGCAAGAAAGATAAAGCTTAGACATTAGAAAACCTATAGGTTTGTTGGTAGGGACACAGCTAAAGCCCATCCGCCCTAAGGGAAGGGGTTGATCGCCCTCTGGTTCTGTTCTCCTGCTGGTTCTGCGCCCCACCGGCACCAAACGTGTCTGTCCCTTAAGGGGAGGCAAGAGAATTTTCTTACACTGTATTTAAGGCCTTCTGCTGAGCAAGAGGTTTTTACATCTCCTTCTCGGCGGACTCTGAGCGGGGACAGCAGGGAGGGGAGAGCTGGCTGAAAGTCAGTATCTGATATGGTCGCTCATGACAGGATTTCCTGAGACCCGTCCCTGCAGGGCACTGCAAGATATCTTGAAGCTCAGTTGCTTTTTCCATGCGGCTCTGCTGCCTCCCCTCTGAGAGGCCACTACAGTGGCATAAACCCCAGCCTCTCGATCTTCCCAGCCTCTCCAGTCAACTGAAGTCGTGTGCGCATGTATCAGAAGCGATTAGCAGAAGGGAGCTAATCTTTGACAGACCTGGCTTCTGCTCGAAAATTAGTTGGCTCTAGGACCAGCAGCAGATAGTTATTTATGAGCAGTCATTAGGACAACAGAAGCTGCTCTATTTCAGACCCAAATGGAATGAGGTTTTTGGATGAATTCTCGCTCCAGATCAGCCAGCGCTCACGGTTTATTGCAGACTCTAACGGGAAAATGGTTTCATCCAAAAGGGCTGGTTTCAAGGACAATCAAAGCTGCCTTATGCCTTGCCAAAACTTCTTGATAGTCTGGGCACTATTTTCAGCCTGAGGATCTGACTGAAGCAGCTCCCCCCGAGATGTCTCCTGCAAGCGGCCAAGCGCCCGTGTACCAGGCACCTTCGCTGGCCCGCCGCTCGTTGCCCTTTGCAGCACCGCGCTTTGCCCACAACCCATTAAAAGGCTGGCTGCTGGGCGGGAAGGATCCCGCGGCTGTGCCCAGGCAAAAAACGTGGCGACAGGCACGCCCCTGGTACTTTCTGCTTACTTCCAGCGACGGAGGAAGCGCGGTGACGGCCACAGCGTTTCTACAGCTGTGGGCATGGCGTTCCCAAAGCGCCCC